CCCTCTCCAGAAGAGCAGGCATCTGTGCTGAGGCAGAGTAGGTCTGCTCCCCGCGAGTCATGTGGCCGGGGAAGCTGCTGCCTCAGCTCCTCGCTGTCCCAGAGGGAAAGGCAAACCTTGGGCAGAGCGCAGCCCTTTGACAGTTGTGGAAGATGCGCTTAAAATCCTCTTTTCCCTCAGCCCCTTCAGAGCTAGCTTTGGCGGTGACATGGCCAGAAAGGTCCCTGGATATTGGGCAGTGATCTGCTTGGCCTGCTCTCGCCCGTGTGTGCCTTACTGGTGCGCAGCCATCGAGTGCGGCAGCACCTCCAGCAGCACTGTGGGCCGAAACTGGCCGCCGGAGGCATCTGATTAGTCATCATCACCCCACAGCATCTGACATTTATGAAGAGGGACATGAATTTAGACCTGCGCTTATTTATTTTCCAGTGATGCTGAATCGGAGTTTCAGTCAATTAGAAGGTGAAACAGTCGCATTGCCCAGGTTCTGGGCAGGATTGCCAGGATTGCCAGGATTTCTATGGTTTCCATTCATTTGTTTCATCTGGATTATTGTTGATGAAAACCTTAAAGTTAATGATTTATTTAGTTAAGGTTTCCATCCCCATATGAACTTTTCTTTTTTTCTCAGGCCAGGGCTTCAGACCAAGACACAGACAACAGGCTCATTGGACAGCAACTCTATGTTAACATCAAGGTAAGTTTTAAACACAAGAGGCTGCTTTTTGCATCCTTCTGCAGCACTCGCAGACCTCTTACCATCATTTCACATGGCACTTCCTTGCATGTGTAGGAGAACAACCACTGCTACATGATGAAGAGAGTTATGGAGATCATTGTGAAAGATGTCCTCCTGTCTGAGGCCAAGGATCGGTATCCCTACACAAGGGAGGTGGCACAGTTCCTGGCATCCATGACCTCGGAGCTGAGCAGATGCGTAAGTAGCCTTGGGTTTCCCTCCCCTTCAAGCACGGCAACACTCAGGGCTGCTCCTGAATCTCAGAATGCTGCAAAAGTGGCAAAAAGAAAGGAAACCTCAGATCAGAGATATCTGACTGGAGGTTAATAGAAAGGTGTGAAAAAGAAAAACAAAAGAAAACCCCAAAAAACAAC